ACAGGAGCCTGGATGCAGCGCCTTTAGACAGTGGGATGTTTCCTGGTCATGGAAACACACAGGGGCACACTCCAGATAGCGCCCTCAGGGAGGGTCTCTCAGAGGAGAGGCCTGAAAGATGAGAAGGTGCCAGCTATGAAAAGATCTGGGGGGCCGAGGGGAACAGTTGGGAAAAAGCAATAGTATGTACAAAGGTGGGGAGTGGGAATGGTTGGGGTGGGGGGTCAATTGGGAAAAATGGAGTCATATGTAAAACTTTAAACAAACAAAAAAAGCAGGGAGGAGGGCTTGGGCCCCGTGGGTCACTGGGAGGAGGGTAGATATTTTCCCCAAGTGTGATGGGGACCATGAGGCCCACCCCAGTTTACAAAGACCACAGGGTGCTCGGAAAAGCCCTACCTCGGCCACACCGGGGGCAGCAGCTTTCTTTGATGAACTAAGAAAGTGAAAACATCAGGTCTGGGTTCTTCCTGGGTCATCGGATGCCTCCACTTCACCCTCCTCAGTATAAGGGTCAATGGAGCCGGAGGAAGGCTTGGGTCAAGTTCTGGCCATTGTGCAATGAGTAGGCTCGTGGCTTCCTCTGACTCATCACCAGGGTTTAGGATGGATTTCGTTACTGCTGGGGTGAGGAGTGAGGGGGATGAGCAGGATGAGCACTGGTACCTCACTTCTTCCCTGGGGCCATTGCCCAGTTTTGTGACCTCATAACCCTTCCCTTCTCCCCCCACAAAATCTTTTCTGTGCCCGGAAACCAGCTTAGTGCAGACATATGGAAGTGATCAGGGTAACCAGCATCTTTTGAGCACTTATGAGCCAGGCACTTGACTCATGTTAATCTCATTTAAACGGTACAAAACCCAGTGCAGAGAAGGAAGCTGAGCTCTGCTGTCAGGCCTGAGTTCTAGTTCTGGCTCTGGCTCTGGCTCTTAACTGGCTATGGGGCAGTTGCCATCAATGTGCTTTGTCTCTGTTTCCTCTCCAATCTCGCAAGACAGTGGCAGGACTGAGAAGCACTTTTGTAGAATGCCCAGCCCTGCGCTTGACTCTCAGAAGCTGCAGTCTCAGTTAGTGCCAGGGACAGAAAATGGACTTCAAATCAACTTCAGCAAAATAGAGAATTAGCTGACACACTGAAAAGGCAGGACTGTCTTTTTTTTTTTTTTTTTTTAATTCTCACCCGAGGATATTTTTCCATTGCTTTTAAATAGAATGGGAGGGAGAAAATAAGGAGGGAGGAAGGGAGAGAGAGGGAGGGAGGGAGAGATATATATAAAAGTGACACATCAATTGGTTACCTTCTGCACATGCCCTGGCCTGGACTGGGAAATGAATCTGCAACCCAGGTACTGCTGACTGGGAATCAAATCCTAGACCCTTCATTGAGCAGGCCAATGCTCTAACCACTGGACAACACAGACCTATCTTAAGGCATGGTTGTATCCAGGAGCTTAGACAGTCTCTCTCTCTCTCTCTCTCTCTCTCTCTCTCTCTCTCTCTCTCCCTCCCTCCCTCCCTCCCTCCCTCCCTCCCTCCCTCCCTCCCTCCCTTTGTCTCTGTTTTCCTCTGTGTGGGTTCACTTTCTTGGCCTATTTCTCTTCAAGTAGCAACCTCTGGCACTGGAAGCTTGTGTTATCCTTCAAATCAGCCTTCCAAGCAAAGAAGGCTCTACTGATTGTCCAAGGCTTCCAACTTGAGATGTTTGTGGGGAGAGGGAGTTGGTAAGACCAGCTTTATTCACATCTCATGGACTAAAAGTCAGAATAAGTGTTCCCTGTAGGGCAGTTAGTTGTTGATACCCCAAAGGGGGTAGATACTGGTTAGGCAAAAATACTAAAGTTTATGATGTTTCTCAAAACCATATGAACAAGGAGGATAAAATAGAGCAGTGTCAGTGTCCAAGACACTCCAAATTACAATCTATATGTGTGTACACACATATATTTAATATGGACATTTAATTAAACAGTTGGGAAGTGGAACTAAAAGCATATTCAGAAAAAGTCATGGTCCCCCTGTAATCTCCACTGGGGTTTCCCCCCAGCTATCCCTGGCTCTAGTAAAAAAGCGTATTTTTTGCCCTGTCTGGTTTGGCTCAGTGGATAGAGCCTCAGCCTGCAGACTGAAGGATCCCAGGTTTGATTCCAGCCAAGGGCATGTACCAGTGGGGGGTGTGCAGGAGGCAGCTGATGGATGTTTCTAACTCCTGTCCCTCTCTCTTCCTCTCTGCAAAAAAATCAATAAAATACATTAAAAAAAAAAAAAAAAGCCTACCTGTCGGAATGGCCAACATCAACAAATCAACAAACGACAAGTGTTGGCGAGGTTGCGGAGAAAAAGGAACCCTCGTGCACTGCTGGTGGGAATGCAGACTGGTGCAACCACTGTGGAGAACAGTGTGGAGTTTCCTCAAAAAACTGAAAATGGAACTCCCATTTGACCCAGTAATCCCACTTCTAGGAATATATCCCAAGAAACTAGAAACACCAATCAGAAAGGATATATGCACCCCTATGTTCATAGCAGCACAATCTACAATAGCCAGAATTTGGAAACAGCCTAGGTGCCCGTCAGCAGATGATTGGATCAAAAAACTTTGGTACATCTACACAATGGAATACTATGCTGCCATAAAAAAGAAGGAATTCTCATCATTTGCAGCAACCTGGATGGAATTGGAGAACATCATGCTGAGTGAAATAAGCCAATCAATGAAAGAGAAACACCACATGACCTCACTCATTTGTGGATAATAAAGAGCATTATAAACTGATGAACCAAAAGATAGATATAGAGACAGTATATCAACAAGTAGACTGTCAAATTACAGCGGGGAGGGGAGGAAGATCTGGGGGAGATAATAGATCAACCGAAGGACTTTTATACATGCATATAAGTACAACCAATGGACACAAAACTCTGGGGAGGGAGGGGATATGTGGGAGGGAGGGAGGGGGGCAAAAAAAATCAATAAAATATATTTTAAAAAAAAGAAAAAAAGAAAATCAGAGTAGATGAATAAAGAACAAAATCCAGAAAAAAAAAAAAAAAAAAAAAGCCGAGACCAGTTTGGCTCAATGGATAGAGCGTCGGCTTGGGGACCGAAGGGTCCCGGGTTCGATTCCGGTCAAGGGCATGTACCTTGGTTGCGGGCATATCCCCAGTGGGAGGTGTGCAAGAGGCAGCTGATCGATGACTCTCTCTCATCGATGTTTCTAGCTCTCTATCTCTCTCCCTTCCTCTCTGTACAAAATCAATATTTTTAAAAAATACATTTAAAAAAGCGTGGTTTTTTTTTTGTGCAATTACAACTGTCCACATCCCCCTGGCTGCCCCTTCTGGCTTCACCCTGCCCATGCCTGAGAATCCCTAGGGTGTCCTGAATATAAACCTTTGGTATGGTGGTTGGGGTCCCTCCGCTTAGGGAGAGACTGCTGAGTGTCAAAGAGAACCCCTCTTGCTTCACTGGGCCATCCCTCTATCATCTGGGAGACTCTAGCATCCCATTCTCTGCTGGTCTGAGTGGGATTTCCTTTAGTGCCTCATGGCAAAACCAGTATTCTTGAGCAAGACTGAACTGGAGAAATTCAGAGAGGAGGCTGAAGCTCAGTAGTTCTGGTTCTTTGGGATTAAGGATCCAGAGAATAGGAACTGGTACAATGTGAGGTAACAGGGAAAGAAAGGTATTAAAGATGATGCCCAGGCTTGGGCTGGGGCTACTCACAAGGGTAAGGCCTCAGCTCAAATACCCCCTCCCTCCAGCCTTCCCTGCTGCTGGTGGTGGTAGGAGCCTCCCTCCCTAACATCACCCCCTACCAGTCCATTACTGAGTACTTCTTTTTTTTTTTAAATATAAAGAGAAGTATTCTTTTAAAAATATATATATATTTATTGATTTCAGACAGGAATCAAACCTGGGAGCCTTCTGTCCACAGGCTGATGCTCTATCCACTGAGCCAAGCCGGCTAGGGCCCATCACTGAATACTTATTTTTATTGATTTCAGAGAGGAAGGATGAGGGAGAGATAGAAACATCAACAATGAGAGATAATTATTGATTGGCTTCCTCCTGCACCCCTCTACAGGGGATAGAGCCTGCAATTGGGACATGTGCCCTCACCAGGAATCTGACACGTGACCTCCAGGTTCATAGGTCAATGTTCAGCCACTGAGCCACATCAGCAAAATGTTTTTACTTTTAAAGGAAATAATTTACTTTCTTTAAAGTAAATAATTTATTTTTTTCAATTACAGATGACATAGAATATTATATTAATTTCAGGTGTATAACAGTGATTAGACATTTATATATCCTATGAAGTGTTCACCCCAATGAGTCTAGTACCCAAATATTTGATACCATGCAGATATTACAATATTGACTATAGTCCCTATGTTGTACTTTACTACCCCCTATTTTTATAACTGGCAATTTGCACTTTCACCCTTTTCACTAAGCCCTCTCAAGCCTCCTCCCATCACTGAATTATTTTCACAGTCACATTTATCTCCATTTGGAACATTTCTTGGGTCATTTGCTGGTGACCCCTCCCCGACTTTGCACCTCATGAGGGCGTCCTCCAGGCACATACTGGCTCTCAGTAAGTGATTGAATACGGGAATGAACAACGTCCAGAACAACTTTCCGAGCTGAACTGACCCGAGCCCGAGCTCAGTCTCAGGGCGCTGCCCGTCCTTGGAGGGTGCTGGCCCCGTCCTTGAGAGGGTTTGGGTCTGACTGTATCCCTCTTGGAGGATCCAACGGCCGCTGTCCAGCGGGCCAGGAGGAAGCCCACTGCGCCTGCGCCGAAGTTTCCTTTCGCCTCCCCCGTAGGTCGCGACAGCGCCGGCGAGGCGAGCGCATGCGCCTTCACCCCCGCCGCGCGGGAGGTGCCTGCGTCGCTCTCCGGGCCGCTGCCGCGCCTGCGTGTCGCCCGCCGCCCGCGGGCCTGGCCGGCGCGTGCGCGGTGGCCCTGGCGAGTGGGGGGGCTAAGGAGGTGGAGGAGGAGGAGGAGGAGGCGGAGGAGGAGGAGGAGGAGGTGGCGGCGAGAAGATGGCGACTTCGAACAATCCGCGGAAATTCAGTGAGAAGATCGCGCTGCACAACCAGAAGCAGGCAGAGGAGACGGCGGCCTTCGAGGAGGTCATGAAGGACCTGAGCCTGACGCGGGCCGCGCGGGTGAGGGGGCTGCCGCGCCGACCCCCTCGGGGCCGGGAGGGAGGAGGAGGAGAAGGCGCGTGTCCAGCGCGTGCACAGGGCGGGGGCGCGCGGCGGGGGCGGGGCGCGCGGCGGGGCGGGGCCTGGCCTGGCCGGAGGGGACAGGTGTCCCCGCTCCTGGGGCGTCGTGGGCGGGATTGGTGCCCCGCATCCTCGGTATCTGTTGGGGGGACAGGTGATCCCACACCATTGCTACCTGGAGGGGCAGGGGTCTCCGTGTCAGTACTGCTTGGAGGGAACAGGTGCCACTCCATCATTGTTACCTAACGGGGACAGTGTCTCAACATCACTGCTACCTGAGGGGGACAGGTGCCCTCACATCATTGTTATCTGGAGGGGCAGGGATCTCTATGTCATTACTACCTGGAGAGAACAGGTGCGGCTACATCGTTGTAAGCTAATGGTGACAGGTGTTTTTACATCCTTGCTGTCGGAGGGGGCTAGGTGCTCCCATGTTACTCTACCTAGGGGTGACAGGATGACACTGAGGTCTGTGACACGGAGGTCTGTGAAAGCATCACTGGTACATGGGGACGGTCGGTACGTGCTCCCGTGTTGTTACCTGAGGGGACAAGTGATCCCACATTGTTACTACTTGAAGGGACAGGCGTCTGCATCATTGGTGCCTTGCCTTGTTTCCTGGGAGCCTGTGGGAGGACACGTGGCCTTGCTTGCAGACCTGAGGTGGAAGAGACCTTTTGGACTCCACAGGGCAAGGTCAGATGCCCTCCCCTGTGGGGCCTTGAAGGGGGTCAGGAAGGCAGATGTGCTCAGTTCTAGAGTTTGGCGTGGAGACAGCTGCCCCTTCCCTGTGCAGCTATATGGTGGGGACCAGGTGATGTTCCTCCCACGGAGACAAAGGACAGCTACACTCAGATGCCCCCTGGCCTTTAGGGACAGGGTGGAGGGTCGGGTAGCTGGGTGGGTTCGGTGCATAGAGGCAGGCCTGGTTATCTGCTAATCTCACCTGGAAAACCACTGTGGGCCCGGAACATGGGTTTGGTTGGGGGTGAGGTTGGTGGCCTGGCTTTTCTCCTGGACCTCAGCTCTCTGGCTGAATAATTGCACAAAGTACTAAGGTCCTCGGGCCTTACGTTCTTGGTGAAGTGTGTCTAAGCCCTTCCCCGTGGGTCAGAAGGCAAGATGCTTCTCACAGGTGTTGGTAATGTCTGCTGCATTCCTCAGAGCAGTGGGATCCTGCCTTGGGGCTTCAGAGTGGATTTGACACCCACATTGCTGGTTTCCGGGTTTGGCCATTGATCTGACCATTTCAGGCAGACCTCCCTCTGTGACTGCAGCTTCAATCTGATTCCTCAGATGGAATTTTCAGGTCATGTTATTGTCTCATTTTCGCTGTGAAAGTGTGACCTTATAGACCAGAATGTGCTTTCCTTTCCATGCATTTATTTGGCACATATTGGTTGGATGCTCACTCTTAGCCAGGTGCTTCCTGTCCCTACTCCAGCAGCTCATGTTCTCACTCAAGACATAGAGGAAGAGATGGTTGGTGAATAAATGAATGAATGAATGAATGAATGAAAGAAAGAAAGTGAGCAACTGGATTGACCCCATAAGTCAGGGCTTCTGAGGGCAGGAGTGTCCATATCATGTTGTCTCCAGCATGTAGTGTGTTCTAGCACAAGTAGGTGTCAAATGTATATAGTTTGACAGGAAGAAGTGGGCTGTGTGAAATTCATGCCGGTCGTCATGACGGGAGGTCTTGTTTCTGCCTTGGGGTTAGAAATGGATTATTGTTGAAAAGGTTTCTCTAGCAGCTTGATTGAGATAGAGTTCACATACCATATAATTCATTTGTTTAAAGCATACAATTTAGTGGGTTCTAGTGTATTTATGGAGTATGCAATCATCTCCACTGTCTAATTCTAATAACATTTCATCTCCCCCAAAAGAAACCTGGTACAATGAGCAGTCAGTTCCCATTCCTCCCTCTGCCAGCTGCTGGCAGCCACCAATCTGCTTTCTCTTCCTATGCACTGACCTATTCTGGACATTTCATGTAAATGGGATCATACGCTATGTGGCTTTTTGTGACTGCCTTCTTTCAGCACTAAGTTGCATGCATGTTGTAGCATGAATCAGAAAATTTAATTCCTTTTTTATGGCTGAATAATATTCCATTGTTTGGATGGACTACATTTTGCTTACCCATTCATTCACTGATGGATTTAGAAAAAATTTTTAAGATGCAGATACAGTATTTTTCTCAGCCCTAATAACCATTTCCCATCTCTTTCCTCCCTCCTTCTGTTGTCTTCCTTTACTGCGGGTTTGGGGAGATGGGGGGATGGGCGTGGCCTCCAGGCAGAGATGAGCTTACGCTGGATTTTAGAGACAGAGCAGTGTTCTCTGCTGGGGGCACTTCTGCCCCCTAAGGGGCATATGGCAATGCCTGGAGACATTTTTAGTTGTCTTTACTGGGGATGGGAGTGCTACTGGCATATGGTGGGTAGAGAACAGGGATGCTGCTCACCACCCCACAGTTCACACATGGCCCTACCACAGGAGTGAGTGATCTGGCCCCAGAGCCCTGAAATGTTCAGTTTGGAGGGAACCCTGAGTGGGCAGGGGTGCAGCCTTTGCACCTGGGCAGATAGAGTTCATGGCTGTGCCACCTGGGCAGGCTGATGGCTTTTCTCGAACCTGGAACCAAGATGGACAAGCTTCTTCACAGCCTTTTGGCCATTGCCTGTGGCCAATGGCATTTCTGCAGTGTCTGGTGTAGGTGAGTGAACCCACTTGATGCAGGTTCCCCTTCTGCTCTAACTCTGTGGCTGCAGCCTTCCCTCACTACCTCCCTCTGCAGTAGACACCTCGGTTTCTCCTGCACATGCCAACAGATAGGGCATGGCCCTGTTGGTAGCTGCTCCTCTCCAGTGAATTCTGCAGGACAGCTGGCCCACTCCTGGAGTGAACAGGGCCACTCGTGTTTCTGTGTGTCCGCACACGGTCCTCAGTGGTGATGGAGTGCTCGCAGTGCCTTCCCATGTGAAAGGCCAGTCACTAGACATTCAGTGTGATAAGCAAATCAGCACTGTCACCTTCCTGGGGAGCAGGGACACAAGGGCCAGTTAAGTGGGAGGACAGTGTATAATGTCGGGGAGACCACTTTTGTACTGTAGCACAGAGAGGTTGGGTGTATGAGTGTTCCTCTACCACCCTGAGGCTTGGGTCACATGATATGCAGAGACGGCTGTGGTGCTCTGCTGTGTGACTTTGAACAGTTTTTTTTAATATTTTTTTTACTTTGTTTAGTTTAGTTAATCCTTACCTGAGGATGTTCTTTCCATTGCTTTTTTAGAGAGAGAGTGGAAGAGAGGGAGGAAGGGGGAGAGAGAGCGAAAGAGAGAGTAAGAGAAACCTCAGTGTGAGAGAGGTATATCAACTGATTGCCTCCCCCATGCGCCCGTCTAGGGGGTTAGGAGGGAACCTGCAATCCAGGTATGTGCTCTTTACCGGGAATCGAACACAGTCCTTCGGTGCCTGGACTGAGTCACACTGGCCAGGGCAGATTTTTTTATATTTTGAGTCCTGTTAGGGTAGCGTGTTCGTTCCAATATAATGACATTTTTGATTGTCCGGTATGACCCAGGGATCATGTTGGGTGCATAATGTAGCATACAGAGCATTAAGGGCCGTGCTTTTGGGGAGTGGGTGTGGTTTTAGTGGGGACAGGAGAGAATCACTGCAAATGCACGAAGCACAGGCTTTCAGTGGACTGATTGGAGGGGGGCGGGGAGTGGAGGCTAATACCTAACAATGACGCAGAGCCCCCTGTGCCGGTAAGAGCACCCCAGCTGTAGGACAGACAGATGCAAGGCCCTGGGTGGGAAGGGATTGGCAAAGTTAAGGACAGGTCAGAGGACAGAGAGGCTGGCTTGTGGAGGGAGTGAGAGAGGTGAGGCTGGAGTGGCTCTGGGAACCCTGGATTCCACCTGAGGGGGGGGCGTTTGATGGTTAGAAGCCTGAGCTGCTGCTTATTTTTTCAGCAGCTGCACTGAGATATAATTTCCAATACATCCAACCCACCCATTTAAAATGCACCATTCAGTGGTTTTTAGCACATTTACCATGTTGGGTAACCATTACTTTTATCTCGTTCCAGACTATTTCTGTCACCCAAACAGAAACCATATCCCATTAGCAGCCATTCCTCATTACCCAGCCTCTGGCAGCCATTAATCTGCTTTCTATCTCTATAGATTTGCCTGTTCTGAACACTTCACATCAGTGGAATCATACACCATGTGGACTTTTGGGTCTGGCTTCTTTCACGCTACATTATACTTTTGAGGTTCATCCATGTTCTAGGGTGTGTCAGTACCTCAGTCCTTTTTATGGCTGAGTAATATCCATTGTGTAGATGGACCACACTTCGTTCATCTTTTATCAGTCAGTGGACATGTGTGTTGGCCATTGTGAATAATGCTGCCATGGATATTTATGTCCAAGTGTTCGTGTGGGTGCAGGTCTTCCTTTCCCTTGGGTGTACACCAAGGAGTGGAGTCACTGGGTCATATGGTAACTCTCCATTTAACTATTTGAGGGCATTATCTGTTCTACAAAGATGGGTGTGAGCCGAACTGGCAGTGGGATGAGAGGGGAGGGCAGCAGATAGTGTGAGAGGCCACTGTAGCATCTAGGTCAGGGACTTCAGGGGTGGAGGTAGCTTGAGCAGAATCAGTGGATTTTGGTGGTATTTTGGCATCAGAGGCAAAATATGTGCAGGTGGATTGCATGTGGGGCGTCCCCTTCTTGCCAGGGGCTCAGGACACAGGAGGCTCTGAGCATCCCAGGGAGCAGCCCCAGGGCCAGGAAAAGCCTGCATGCAAAGCATTCCACGTGGCTTGGCTTGACTGCAGATTTGGCTGCACTGAAGGAAGTGGGGTGTTCTTCTGGCCCTAACCTGTGATAGGGGTAGTTCTGCACAGGCTGGAGGAAAG